AACAGTTTTCGTCCTAATTTTGCGGTAATGGCACAAATTGCGCTACGCTTATCGGATGAGGGTGCAAGACCCACCATCTCAAAGCTAAAAGACAGGGTTACAACAATGTAGAAGGCCACTCAGTCCAAATCCTAGCACAACTAGGTCAAATATGCAAAATACCAAACCAGAACCTTAATTGCAGGTTTACAAATTACACTATGCTGTAATTAGTCCAACTCAGTCTATACAAGTCCAAATTCATTGATTCCAAAGGCATATGGTAGCTAAGACAACAAGCTACATTTCATCAAAAGACCTCAACAACCAAATCTAAAGCAATTCCAGTCAAAATAGCCAATTACAGGCGCAGTTCGGCCATCCTGAAGAACCCAGAACAGCAACAGTAAAATCGACTTTTCTCACTCTACACAACTCCGATGAACTTGAAATTTTACAGGCACCTCAAACACATCAATACCTACAATTTCCATGTTTTAAGCTAAGGCCAATTCGGCCTCTAACCATGAGATACAAAACCAGACAGAATTGGGGATATAAAACCCTAATTTTCTCAAATTCCTTCAAAACCCAAAATTGCTTGCAATTACCAATCATGTACACCTACTAGAGTCATTACCCTTCATTACCAACCATCATAGATAACCACAACATCATGATCACATTAAACCAGAAAATACACCATTAAATTGAAAACTTCATCATTTCATCCAAAAGCAAGAAATAAATCACAAATGTCATCACTTGAGCTTCCAATAAGCACAACTCAAGCTTCATTAAGTGTAGGAGGAAGTTCAAATACCACTTACCTAGAACACAAGAGAGGGAGAGTTGTAGGACACCTTAGCTTCCTTGAACACTTCCACAAAATCACTTACTAGCACCAAATGGAGGGATTTTATGGAGTAGAAACAAATTTAAGCAATTGGTTTGGATGATTTGCACTAGATGGAAGCTTGAAAATTGGAGAAGTTTTCTTTTTTTTCCTAGAGAGAGAGCCGGCCAAGAAGTTGAAGACAAGAATGAATTTTGTGTGATTTTTGAGATATTTAAGCAATTGGTCAAAAGTCAAGAAAATGAATAGTTGTCCTACAAGTGCCACCATTCACCAAGTGACACTTGTCACTACATTTAAAGCATTTCTATCCTTTAAGTCTCTCTCACATCAATCACATCTCATCCTCTGCTTATCTCTTAACACCCGATAAATTTTACTCAGTATCCGAAACTCAACCTACTTGCCCGAATTTTTCCGAACTTTTCGCACTAGTGGGTCCCACGTCCATTATATATCCGTAATTTTTCAAAAACTATCCAATACTAGAAAAATCATCTAAAAACTATAATTACTCATAAAATCCACCAAGAAAATTTTCCTAAGTCAGAAAATGCAGAAAACATGCCATTAAAGGGGAAAACCCTAGGAAAAATATTAGGGAAAAATACGGGTTCTCACAGTCTTACTATCATTTTGCTCTTTTTCGGATAGGCAAATTGATACCCAGAACTTTGTTTTTACATCCCAATTCAGTACCAATATAGATTTATGTATCGAATTGCCAATTTCTCGAGGCATGACCATTTTCATAAATTAGCAGCTAATTATATATAGTCCCCTATTTTCATTTTCCAAATCTGACACTTCATCTGGATTAACTGTTTTTGGAGGTGTTTTGAAAAATTTTACTATAATAGAGTTTTTAGAGTATATTTTGGGATATTTAAAAGTAATAGAGTTTTTAGAATATGTTTTAAAATATTTTTAAACATTAAAAAAATTAGACTACTTTTTAGAGTACTTTTTTAAAAAATTTTATAATATTTGAACTATAGTATTTATATCTCTCACGTATGTCTTTGTGAGAGATATACGTGGATTATTCATCAAACTCTCTAATTTAAAAAGGTTCTTGTCTTGTGCAAGATCTTGGCTCTACTTTAGGTGGAATCGTACGTTCTTAGTGGTGTAAGAACATGACAAAGTTTTTGGATCAGCCTTTTCTTCTTCCATCTGTTTGCATCAATTTTACTATATTGCTATTTATTTCATTATTGATTTTTTTTATTGACTATATATGTTTTATCTGTTTGCATCGTAGTCCAAATTTCCCTTTATTTCTTTCATTACTATAATGTTTTGTTTGACTAAATTGAGTGTAACTATTTCAGGTGTTCAGATTTTTTTTGGTACTACTATTACTATTATGGTTGTACGTCTTCGCCAACACTATCGCACACTTTCCTGCTACTTTCTAGTGTATCAATTTTTTAGAATCTACAGTACATGGAATTGGCTTGAACCGGTTTTCCTGTATTATATAGAAAAGAAAAATGAAGCATTTCTAGTTTGAGATTGGGAGAGAGATTTTAAGCAACATCGTCATAAAATTCTGATAATTAGTCCAGCATATCCTTGCAATAGTGTTATCTCCTTAGTAACTCCAAATACATTTAGATTTTTGTACAAGAAATTGAGACGGGAACATGATAAATGTAAAGTAATATGTTTACATATTACATATTAAGGTAATATGTAAATGAGACGGGGAAGCATTTCCAATTTGGGATTGGGAGAGAGATTTTAAGCACTATCATCATAAAAATGCCGATAATTAGTCCAGCATATCCTTGCAATAGTGTTATCTTCTGAGTAACTCCAAATACATTTAGGGTGTGTTTGGTTCCCATAGAATTGGAGGCTTAGAATTAGAATTGGAGCATCAATTCCAAATCTTCGGTTTGGACGCTATCTATGTGAGAGAATTAGAATTCAATTTGAATTCTATGAGCCATCAATTCCACAAATTCAATTCTTTGGTAAGACCTAAGAATTACAATTCTAATTCCATAATTTCACCTCCTATTCGGGTTAGTACGCGGATCCTAGCGGGTAAAAAATTAAAACCGGGTCAACTAGGTAAGCGGCCCTCTCTCGCTATCTAATTAGACACTTTTCCTCAACCGCAAGTACCTCTAATCTAATTGCTCTGCGTCATCCCCTTCACCTCCACCCTAACATTTTCCCTCTTCCACCACCGTCTCCGGCATCGCTCTGCCACGCATCTACCCATCACCTCAGCAATCGCGAACAAAGTGCAGGATTCTCAAATATTTTGTATATATTGAAGCCGTCTAGGGGAGGATTCTCAAATATCTTTTACTGCTCAACTCAACGGTAAGCGCATTTTCCTTTACATTCAACGTTCTTCCTGCATTATATTCGTCAAATGAAGTTTTCTGTAACTTGATGGTTCTGGACATCCGACGATTTGAATTGTGTTGTGGGATTTGGATTATGATCGATATTTGTTTTTTTATTTAAAGAAAAAATAAATTTACTGCTGCTACTTATGAATCGCATTTGCTCCCCTAATATTTGTGAAATTAATTAAATAATAATAATAACAAATGGAATAGTAGAGGCTTTTTGAAGGATGAGTTGATGAGGATTGAGTGAGTGGCTTACCGCTTACTCTCACGGTAGAAACAGAAGCTTGCGAAGGCTTCTCTTGCTTTCAATTGCAAAAAGTGAGTGTTTTGGGATTCTGATGATTCTGATCCTGGATTGCATTATTTACAGACATTCTGCATACAGGGGGCTGCAATTTTGTTTTTTTGTTTTTTTTTCTTTTTCTTGGTTGGTATTTTGAAGAAATAATTATACCTTTCCTTGCATTTGTGTGATTCCTAAATCTGATCACGTGAACTGCATTATATAATTTCATTCTATTTGGACAATGCATCTTTTATTGAGTTGTATTTCACTTCGTTGATTCACTTCTGATGTAATTAGTAATGAATGATTAAAGTAGTTATTTGCCTCTGTATTTGAACTTTTAAGCTTGCTCCTGATGCTGTATTTACATAACATTTCTTGAATTTGACATTAAAAAAAACACTACTAGTATCCAGTTTTTTTTCCCCCTTTTGTTTGTGGCTTTGTAATACATTGTTCATGGTTCTTTGTAGATTGAATATTCAAGAGATAATTTCTAGGATCTACATTCACATTACAGGCAGAAAAATTATCTCATTCAAGAACGTTTTGTCTACAAAAAATTACTGCTACAAGTTTAAAATTTCACTGCATTATAATGATTCGACCTCTAAACATCAGGAAGTGGCCTTGGCTAAGAACCTGACTTCGTGAATCATATCCACATGTTTAAGACTGATAATGGATGAAATGCTGAATCCGAAGCTAAAGTATCCTCCTTCAAGACACTGAGATCATAAACACAGAGAATGCAGATTACACCCTTTTTATAAAATCTATTTGTTGGCTGTTATGATCAAGTATATAACGTCTCCAGTTCACACTCCAAGGCTGTTGGCTGTTATGACCAAGTGTCAGATTAAAAAATCTTCTTAAAACCAGTTATACTCTTCTTAACTTAGTATCTAGAATCATAGAAGGAATCACAAATTTACTTTGACAGAGCGAATTTTTAGTTCTATACTGCAGTGGCTGTTGAAAAACTTGCTGTCAGGGCCTGAAAAATCTTTTATGTATCAGCTCAAGGCTGCTAAATTCTCGTCAATGGACATGGAATGTGATGAATGTTTGTTTTGGACTATTTAATGCTGTCATAAATTCTCTCACACACTCTCTCTTAGCGTATATTTAAATGTGTTTGATTGTTCCTAATATGTTACAGGAAGGCTTGTTTAACCTTGCCCTGCATTTAAGTGAAGTCGGTGCATTCTTCTTGATAGCAAAGTTGTGGGCTGACATGAAGTTGGGCATGCTTAAAGGCTGAAGATCGTCACTTCAGTCTTCCTTGTATCTGTGGTTTTATAAAGGTATTTATTTTCAAGCACTTAGAATGCTGTGAATAGGTTTTTGATGTGAAAATTATAGCTCTATCTCTGGCTTTCATGTTTCAACTATTGAGCTTGGTAATAACGGTTCAATTTTGACACTAACTAGAACAATTGTCCTGCAGTTCTTTGGTGTATGTTTCTGTATATAATCAATTGTTACACATATTTTAAAGCTTATGTGGTGTAACAGTTGGGCTTTCCCTGCAATTCATTGCTAGTTAGGAAATTGTAAATAGCTATCTTTATCTCACACACACACATATATATAGAGGAGTTTCAAGGAGAAGATAATTAATCTTTTTAGCTATCATTTTAGCTTCAATTGACTATGTAGAATTTAACACACTCACTTTTTAAAATTGACTCTGCAGCAGATAGTAGAGTTCTACGGGATGCGTTAGTTAGATCAGATCCATTAATTGTTCCCAAGGGTATGTGACAATTACATATCATGTGTTTTTTTTCTTTTAACTATAAATGAGTAATAATTTGTTGTCTAACATTACAGGCAAGTACTTTCTTGTTGATGCGGGTTATGCAAATAGCTCCGGTTTCTTAGCTCCATATAGGGGAGTTAGATATCATCTTAGCGAGTGGTCTGCTAGTGGGAGGAAGCCTCAAAATTTTAAAGAGTTATTCAACCTTCGACATTCAATTGCTCGAAATGTCATTGAAAGGACATTTGGTTTGTTCAAGAAGCGGTGGGCCATTTTGAGAGATGCATCTTTTTTTGATGTTAAGACTCATGTCATGATAATTAATGCATGTGCCATCCTTCATAATCTTATTCGAGTAGAACAACCAAATGACCCTTACTTGGATGAAGTTGATGCTGAGATGCGAAGAGTACAACATGAGGTTGATGATGAAGATGAAATGGAAGATGAAAATGAGGAAAATGGAATGGAAGATGATGGTCCAAAAAACACGTTGTTTGTGTATTCATCTATTGAAATTTCTTGTAAGATACAAAACTCAAATATTTATAATAGGTACAAGTTATGACTTTCCTCCCAATTCATATCATAGAGTAGGCTTTTGATTTTCTAAAATTTAAAGTTCTTAACATTAAATTTGTATCAAGGTTTTAACTCGATAAATATTAACTACTTTTTAAGTTATAATATACAATTATTTTTATTTAATATAATTTAATTTTAAAAAAAGAATTTTTTTATTTTTGCAAAAAAGGAACTAATTTTTTTTCTTTTAAAGCTTTATTAACAATTAGTTAAATGCAAGAAAAAATAAATTATTAAAGGTACTAATTGGTTTTTTCCTTAAAGCTTTAGTAACAATTAGCTAAATGTTAAAAAATTATTATATAGTAAAAAAAAGAAATTTTTTATGTAAGGAAATATTAGTTGGAAACAATTCTAATTCCTAATGAATTCTTCTCTCATCCAAACAAAGAATTTGGAATTCCAAATAAATTCCGTATCAATTCTATGTATTTTCCAAACGAAAGAATTGCAAGGATTTGGATTTCTAATTCATAGAATTCAAATTCTATAGAATTCCAATTCTAATTCAATTCTAATTCTGTAGAACCAAACGTACCCTTAGATTTTTGTACAAGAAATTGAGACGAGGACATGATAAATGTAAGGTAATATGTTTACATAATAATAAATATATTATCTGTTAGTCCGCTTAACATATTTGCTTGTTTTGCTTGTATGTGTAAAATTTTTGTTTGTATATGTGTAAAATTAGCAGCACACTCGAATGGAAAATGCTAGTTGGGAGGATTTATTTAAATTTGTATCAATACTTGAATTGTGCAGAAATTCATAAAAATCAAGTTTCTTATACTTGCTCCTATTGCTGATGACACCTGTTGATGAACAATTGAGTTTGTCGTCGTGTAATATTGAAGAGCGCTTGAAGTCATACAAAGGAATATGTCTATCTAACCTGAAGCATTTGATTGACGCGATAAGTTGTGCTACATTGCTAATTTATGTTGCTACGAAAAAAATGTTTTAGAAAAATAGATGGTAGTCCGCAATGTTTGAGGAAACATACTTTGAGTAATATACCTCAAAGTTGCGGATAGCCGAGGGACATACATGAGCCACACAATAATCTGAGCCCACATAGTTATCTAATTTGAGCCTACACAATAATCTGAGTCCAGAAAGGGTTATCGGATTAGAATGCCAAAATCATAGGTATTAAACCCGACTCGGCCCGGCGGTTCAATCGGTCAACCCGGTGAACCGGCCATGAAATCGGGTTGGGTTTGTAATTGGATCGTTTGTGCAAGAAGCCCGTTGACTTTTCAACGAATCGGCGGTTTAACTGGTCAACTCGATTGAACCGGATGATTTTGTAAGGAACTCGATTTTGGGATAAAAATGATTAGAAGATGTTCTAATGCTGATTCAAACCTCAGACCTCAAATATAAAGGTTAAGCGCACTCACCACTTGCCCAACAACTCACTTGGTGCTTATTCACTCCTTATATATTATATATTAGATTTTTATTCTTATTTTATTTCTTCAAAACAGAATTTGTTTGGAATCTGTTAATAAAATTTTATTATTCCCTAAACTTTATAAATTATTAAATGGATTTAAAAAATAATATATTACACAATTCATTTTAAAAATAAATATTATTCTTAATAACTTTTTGCACTTAAAATTCGTAAATAAATTAGATAATTACACTTAGATAATATTTTATACTTGAAGTTTTGTGGATTACTAATTAAATTGAGGTTTTGTTAATTCTTATAAGAATTAATGATTCTATAATAAATTGGACTAATTGAATATTTACTATAACATAGTTTATTATAGTTTTAACCATATCAAAAATTATAAAAACTTAATATTTAAATATATGTAGTGACCCACCGGTTGGACCACTCATCCATTGATTGAACCAATAACCCGTTGACCCACCTCTTTCACCGGGTTCCTCTCCGGGCCGGGTTTAGTAACTATGGCCAAAATATTTTTATCCTTTTACTTTATCTTCTTAGCCACTGGTTGCTAGTGACTTTTCGTTCTTTTGGTTTTCTGGAGCTATGTAAATCAAAATTGTGTATTTAAGTGGAAATTTTTGAAAGCGTGCTATTTCACTCGAAACAACTACACGCCTTTCCGAACATTAATTTGATGAAGGCGGTTGTGCTTGAGTACGCCTATGTAAGGAATCCTGGGATAGAGGATTGCAGGAAGATTAAGAGCTATATATGGCAAGATACGGTCTTGGCCAAGGTTGAAGAAGTTTTGCTTCTCTTTTGATAATTCTTACTCTTCCAAAGCCAAATCAAGGCTTCAAACGGATCAAAAAAATAGGAGAACAAGGAAACCAAGAGAGAACTAACAAGTCCTAATAGTTAAAGAAACTTCCTAGTTCAATCTTGTAGAAGGGCATGAAGATTTGGGTCAAACCCCTTCACCTTGCACCTGTGGTTGTTGACTTGACAACCTCGGAGGGACAAAAATACAGTCATACTGAAGCAGCTGGAAAGGTCTCTCATTACAGTTGCTCAGGGAAGTAGCTTGGTGCATCAATCGATTTCTCAAATACACAGATTATAATATCGTACATGGAGAAAGTCTATTGATTAATTTATGTCATGATGTCCAATGGATCTCTATTGGATATAATTAAGCACGATATTTGACATGTACAATATTTATAGATGTGAATGTATATTAATACATTTCAATGTTACATGGCACGAGGTCTATATAGTCGTCTTGTCCACTTGTTCCCCGTGGCTTATAGCCTTAGTCTTTGGAATAGCATTGAAAATAAATGGCAGGTTTCCTTGCATTTTGGCTAGCAGGCAGGAGCGGTCCATAACTCGGCGGTTTTCACTTTAGATACGCTCTCTAACACTTCGAAAGGAGCAATGTCTCCAATCACCACCACCATCTTGCTTTCCAGGTCTACTTCATAAGATGTCACTCCTGTTTCCAGCCACTAAGAGTTAGAAAGAGCATAATCACGTTTTGATAAAACAGTCTGCCCCTTCCTTTTTTTATTTTTTTGGAAAAAAATTACTTGATCGATTTTATTTAAAATATTGTGAATCTGTTATCTGGAGATGGCTGGACTCTCTGAGAGGTTGCTAAGGATCTAGATCAATTTGCATTTCTGGTGCCGTCGATAACCCGTAATAGACGGCTCAAACTCTAACTGCAGGATTCTGGACATTAAGATTTTAGCTTAGTACGTCTCTCGTTCAAATGTGAGGGATCAATGTAATCTCAAAATTTTGTTTCATTTTAGAATGGATTAATCTTTTATACACTAATAATCTATATCTATATGTATTACAGAAGGGGTTTTTAGCAGAGAGCCTCTCAATGGCTTCCAAACTTCTCATTCTTTTTTCTAGATTTTTGTATTTATTTTAATACATAAAAAGTAGTGAGTTATAACCGACCCTATCACCAGTCCAATTTAAAATTTAAAACTTTTCCACTATCTCTTATCTCATCCTACAACCACTCCTACAAATCCTCTACTCATCATCCCACGTTTCCCCCCACATTTCCTCCCACGTTTCCCACTCCAATCTATATCTATACGTATTGCAGAAGGGATTTTTAGCAGAGAGCTAAGTGACTTATCATGTTTCACCAATTTTGTTTCAGAATGTACATGTAATCCCAGCAGATGCCAAGTACCGGATTGCACCACATCAGTTCCAGTTGTCATTTGAGAATTATACAAAAATAGTGAAGATTTTAGATGATTGTGCAACCATCCCCCGTTTCAAGTTCAATTTGGTCAAATTGAGACATATAGAACAGTACATGGATAACGATCTGCAATTGATAGGTACGTCCTCACAATTAATATCATTTTTATTATATTTCTGCAAATCAATTGCTATTAATTAAAATTTTTTATTTATTACAGATGTAATTGGTTTAGTTATAACTGTCGGTCCATACTATCAGATATCTACTAATAACAAAATTGGTCGGGAGATACGATTGGTTGATAAAAGGTTAGTTAACAAATCTTAACATCTTTAAAACTTTTTATTTTTAAAGAATTTAGATTTGCACTTATCAAAATTTTGTTAACACAGTTTGACAGTAGCTCGATTCATATTGTGGGATAAATTTGCTAATGATGATGGTGAACGGTTATATCGGTCTGCCACAAAAAATAATATTTTAATAGCATGTGGTATTTGAGTACGAAATTTCAGAGGTAAATCAATTGCTTTTAGTTATATTCTATATAATTTGAATAGCTTTTGAGCGAACATAACCATACTATGCAGGACCATCACTATGTACAATTGGAGCTAGCAAATTGTATATTAATCACAATTTAGATTTTGCTCGATACCTGCGCAGTTGGTGAGTTCCTCAGTAACACCATAACAAACTATTAATATTGTTTCGTACTCTTATTGACATGTATTTAAAAAAATTGCAGGTTTGAAAATAATACATGTACCCGCAAGTTAGTTATGTGGTTGAGATCAAGCAATTTCACAACACCACAAGCACTGTTGATAGCAAATTCAAAGAGAATATGGATATCTGAATATACAATCATGCCTACGGTAAGCTTACTCAATTTTAATTAATTACTGAACGAATTTTTTTAATTTATAATCATAACCTATATTTTCTTTCATTTTTATTAGGTTAAATATTTTCGAATACTTGCTTACATTTAGAGCATTAACATATAAAATATGTTCTACAAGCTATGCAAAAATTGTGGACAACTATGTGAAGGTCATTTTTCAAAAACAGTGTGTATGCATTGTAATGACGTGGTTGACACTATTATTAGGTAATTAATTTCATGTATATTTAATTTCAATATATTTTTCTATATTGTATATAATATTTTATTTGTCAAACAAGTACAATGTTAACATACAAATCAGAGATTCCAGTGGTAACATGCATCTTAATTTACAAGACAGACATGCACGATTCGTATTTGGTTGTGATGCTTCTTATCTCAGAGAATTACAAAGGAAGGTAGAATTTCTTAATATATATTTATTTTTTATAGTACTATTCATAAACTATGTAAAAAAATACACTAATTTCGTACGTTCTTAATTTCGTACATCTTCCGAAAAAAGACAATTCTTGAATGATATACACATTTTATCATATTTTAAGCTATTGTTAAACAAATATTACATTTTAATTTTGTTGCTACAATTTTTTCACCTTTATTTGCTCACCTTTTTATTTTTTCCAATAATGTCAGCACCGTGCGTAGCACGGGTATTCCCACTAGTGTATATGTACTCACCATTAGATGAGGTATGAGAATTAATTTAAATTTGAATTTGAAATTATAATTTTGTATATATATATCTTTACTATACTAAAGGTGGGAGTTCGGATTGCTACAGTGAAAATGGGCCGGTTATAGCGCGATTTGTGTGAACTTGAGGGGCGGTTTGGTCTTGTGCCATTCAGTTGTAGTGGCTTTGCTGGAAATTGCTCAAAATTTGTTGCTATCCATGTGGAGTTGTTGTGGGCGGTGGGTTCAGTGGTAGTGCCTTTGCTAGAAATTGCTGGAAATTTGTTGCTATCCACGTGGAGTTGTTGTGGGCGGTGAGTTCACTTTTATCAGCTGTCTGCATGGCCTTCGCTTCGCTGGTGTCCGCATGGTGGCTTTGTTTCCATCCGTTCCATTCTGCTCGTACCCCGCGTGTTGTCCTCGCATAGGGACACGCTTAGCGGTGGATTATGATACGGTACAAGAACCGTTGCTAGAAAGCTTGGCAGTTTCCACTGCCCTCTCATTCTTTTCTTAGCTTTCTTTGCCAGTTGCTTTTTTTTCCTTCGTCTCTTCCTACTGAATTGTCTCCTACACCACGTCTTTCTTCATAGTTGAACCTAAGTGTTCTGGAAAGAGTGCAAGAACCGCTGCGCGAAGGCTTTGCAATCTCCATTACTGTGTCTCATTTGTTTCTTAGTCTGTGCAAAACTAGATCTTCGATTTTCCTATGATCGGCGGAGTTTGGAGTGCCAACCTCGACAGTTTTGTTGCTTTTAGCCAGATTTTGAATTCGGTGTGTTAAGCATGGTGCCATGAAACAATAATTGGAATAAGGCTGGTGGAGCATCTGTTCCTTTTTGGTGTCTTACTCCCTTGCCCTACTGAACACAGGAGTAACGGACAAGAGGCCTATCCTATTTAGAGGATAAAGTTTGTGATTCAAAAAAAAACCAGACCAGTTGTTAGAGCGGGGTAGGATAGGCAATTAACATGATTGGTCCCGTTTCAGTTTAAGTTGTTGGATGTGAGTACGTCGGATAAGCGAAAGCAAGCAGGAAATTTATATGCTGTACTTTGGCTTCTTTTCTTTCAATATTTATGGAGCCTGCGCATTGGAGTAAGTTTTGTTTATGGTTATGTGAATCAAAAGTTATGGTACTACTCTTGGGAGGGGTGGGAAGCGGTTAGTGAAAACCTCATTACCATTCATTTTTTACGCATGTTTTCTTTCAGTTTGGGACCTTTGGGTTAACTAATGCAGCAGGTTATTGTTTTTTAAGTGCTAAAATTATGAAGACGCCACTACTGTTATCTCAAAGATTTCATCTCCAAGAATCATTGATGCACATCACTAAAAACGCATACAAGTTTTCTAACTCCATCCCATTACAAGCAAACAAGAAATAGAGAAGAAGGGGAAAGTAATAGCAAAGCCACAAAAAAGGGAGTCCGAGGAGCACGGAGGAGTCATTGCCTGCTGACCGGAATCCACCACAGCCACTGCCATCGCCATTGTCGTTGAATTTCTTCACCAAAAGAGCATTGTGAACTTTCGATGGTTTTGAAAGGTGAACTTTTCACTCTACTTCTATTAGCTTATCGGTTTTGAGTTTATCAATTTGCTGATCATAATTGAAGGTCGCATTGATGTGATTTGTTTGTTGTGCTGATGTCTTTTGTTTTATGATTAAGGGCTGTATTTTTAGACAGGTCATTCAAACTTATTTGACGTGCACACCATATATTCGCTATATGTCCTCATTTAACATCTACAATCATTGTGTGTTAGTTTTTCTCTGTTTCAGAAAATTGTATGATGTTTTGGATTGGTTTAATGTAATTTCATCAATGCATGTTTCGATTGTGATATGGTATTTGCTTGTTCTTTTGTTTTTTGTAATTTGTTATGATATTATGGTTCCCTTCCTGTGTTTACATAGTACATTATATGGTTCACGTAAATTTGAATATTGCAGAGCCAAAAAACTGGTGTCATTGTCAACGGTTATGAATAAAGAAAATAAGTAAGAGACTTTCGATGCTTAATACCCAAGCCAATGAAAATGTCCACTTGGATAGAAACCAAGTAGTTCTTGATTTGTGATTAGTACATGAATTGGCAACCAAACCCATGAGCATTTTGTTTAACCACTTCGAAATATTCATTTGGTTTTAGATTCTGTTGAAGATAAAATACCTTTCAAATCTTTTGTAACAAATTGGCAAACTATTGCAAAATTGACGTAGCCAGATGTAGATTTTTATATTGAGCAACAACTTCTTTGATATCAAAACTGGTGGAGCATTAATTTGTCATTTTTTTAACAACTCATTTATAATGTATTGGAGCAATTGATTTTTCTTCTCGTAAACAACACCTAACAGGTTTTGCAGTTCCTATAACCTTCTCTTATTATAATATCTGTATAGTTTAATCCATTATAAACTAATAAGTTTCCAAAAAGAACCAGAAAAGCTATAGAACAGAAAGGAATATATGGAAGGCCAATTGGATGCTATTTTTCTCTTTTTCTTTCTTTAATTTTCCTTGTGTAAGACATGGCCAGGCATTTCATACTTTCTGTTTCACTTTGTGTTTGTGTGTGTGTATGTGTGTTTTATCTTTTTCCTATTTTACTTTGTGGGTCTAGCTAATGTAGTTTGTAATCTAGCCTATGAATATATCCAATTCATTTTCTATATTTGAGATTTAAAACATTAGAAATTACGCAGGAAACTAATCAAATTAAAAGGTGTTGAACATCAAATTTGCAAGTTCAATTTTTTTTGAATGAGTTTAATTAGGTTGTCAAGAGACAAACTATTATAAACTAATTACATTAAGGTATTTGTATTCCAGAGGCATTACAACTAACTTTTCTATCCAAAACCAAGTAACAAGAAAAATATAGGTGATTTTCTAAACATATTGAGAGGTTATTACAGTTGGTCTAGGTGTCATTCCTAACTTCAATAAATGAATGGTGGTCTAACAATATGAACTTGTTAGCCCTGAATTTATGCAATGTAAAGCTAAGAAAAGATGATGTGTTTTTTTTTTTTGACAATTAGCTATACTTTTTTTTTTTTTGAGTCTGAGCAAGCTTAGACTGTTGAAATATGCCATGGTAGTGAAATTAGTTCCAAAGATTCTTTGATGTTAAATTCAGGCCACTTCAGAAGAGCGTTCAGCATGATTGATGGGTTAAATGTATAATTTTTGGTTCTCTTTTTTTTCCAGGAAAGGAAGTCAGTTTTTGTCCCAAGTCACTTATGAAATTTCACGCAAGTAGCTAACTCTTGAATTTAAAACAATTGGATTTCCCCACTTTTGCATGATTTCTTTTTCCCTTGCATATTTTGTCTCTTCAAACCAAATTAACAAAAAAAAAAAAGAGAAAAAAATGAGAGGCAGGGTCTTGTTCGAGGAATAGGGATGAGCTATTGTTGCCGAGCAGAGTTCGCCACCACTATTGTGGTGGCAAAATTTCTTCATCGGAAAAGCACGGTGAAGTTTCTTCATTTTTTGGGTTTTCTGATCTTGTTCTCCAATTAATTGGGTATCCATGAAACAAACACAGAACACACTCTCATCTCAGGAGCAACTTAAACGATTGAAGAACTCATTCTCATTTCAGACATTTCATTCTCTAGAATCATTAACCATGGAAAATGATGGATATTGTGAATGGATGAAAAGTTGAATTCAATCAAATACAGTTGCGATTGTCACCTCTTGGTTATAAATGTTCCATAACAGCTAATTTCTGCTCTGTTTACTCTTTGTAGTATTTTTCTCCATCCTAATTAGTGCCCAAAACCTATTTGTAAAATGCCTTAAAGCCAGATTTAGCTTTCTGAATTTAATTAAGATAAAATGTTGCATGCTTATACTAGGTGTTCTAAGGATTGCAGATAGAGACAGCTTATTTGTTTTAAACCAAGTTTACCACGTTTAGAACCAAGATAGAGAGAACTCATATTGGAGGGAACTTATTTGTTTTCAGTCAAGTTTACCATCATTAACATATTTTTGTAGCCTTGGACAAGTTGGAACATTTACTGTCTTTAGAGTCTAAAGCAATACAATCATAGTTAGAAAATGCATCTCCTCATGCCAATGTATGACTTGGGAATTAGGATGATGATGGTATTGAATAGGGCTGGTCACTTCTTGGTTATAAATGTTCCGTAGCAGCTAATTTCTGCTCTGTGTTCATATTTCATTCTGTTTTTTATTTTTTAAGTTCTGTTTTCTTACTCACCTTTGTTTGGTGATTTGATGTTTTGATTTCAGATTTCCAAGTTAGCAAAGGGTAATAAGATCTCCTGTTTTATTCCGGTGATTTGAGTTTCAGATGATTCTCTATTTATGTGGTGCATGCTTTGATTTGTGTTCTTTACGTGAACTTTTGCCTCCATTTATGTGGACCATTGTCTCAGGGCCAACTTCTTCTTCCAATTGAAAGCTTCCATTTCCTAATTTTGCAAGGTGAGCTCTTTGCTTTATTTTGCCTTTTCGTGATTTTGTCCTTGTAAAGAAAGGCCTAATGAGTCAGAGCGTTCAAATCAGCGCAATGGTTCACTGAAGGATGTTAATGAATATGTTATTAATTCTTGATAGCATATTGGAGGTACAAACGTTATTATTTATTTATTAATTGTGTTTGTGCTAATAATTTAGTTGGTTATGCATTCTTATTCAGACCTTTTTACATATGTATAGTTGAGCTTTTCTAAATGAGTCGCCGTTGAAAATATGCAAGCTTAGAAGAATCGTATGAAGAAAGGATTAGAAAGAGACGTGAGCAACGTGCCAGTCCGAGTGCTAAGCATGACTGTGGTAGATATCAAGGTGTACGTATTATGGCTATAAGTGCATTTAACATATGCGAATCTAGCATGACGAGGACAACAGGTGATATCAATTCATATATCAGCCACCCTGGTGTATTGAGTATGACTTAATAAACCAGGAAAAGGATTCTCTCACATCATAATTATTAAGTATGCAAGTGTTTTATACTAAATTACTCGCCATCATTTAATTTTGATTAACACAAACTGGGGGCAACCTCGCGCAGCGCGCGAGGCCAAAAAAACTAGTATATATCAAGTATCTAAGGTGATAAAGTGTACACTTTCAATGCGTGTAAGTTTAACACTTTTAGAATTTGGACTTTCAATGAGCATTCGACTTCGTGCCTGAAATCCGGATGGTAGGAAAGGTAACTTCATATTGCCTTTGTACAAAGCGGCGAGGCCTAAACAGACTTATGTCAAATAGTACGGGACAATACATTGTAGATGGGATGAGTTCTCACAACTTTTCCACACCAAGAATTTCAACGGTTTAGAATTCATCATTCATCTAAGATCATTCGATATACATTGTTTGGATGAGTCCTAGATGAATCACAACCGGTCATTTTATTTTTTGGTTGGTGTTTTGCGAGGTGTCATTAAATTTTAACAATCAATTTTCTCATACTAACGTAGCATGAGAAAATTGCTACCATTTTCTGTGTATTGGCCGGCAAGATTCCTTTCCCTCACATTTATTTAGTGGAACTGGAAAAGATTGATTTAGCAGAAGATTTAGTTCTCACTTGCTAGTCTATTCAACTGGGAAAGTCATTGTTAAGCATGATGGAGGATGGAGACATGATTTAGTAATTACCTTCCATCTTGGAGATATGCTTCTTGACTTTCCTTGCGCATCCATTGCAGTGCATCGACACTTTTAGCACAACCGTCTGGATCAATACAGCGACAGATAATTTAACAAGCTGGGAGTCATTTGGCATGTCGAATGGAAGAAGAAAACTGAACGGGATAATCAGCACAGGCATAATACTCCAAAACTTTAACCTTCTGTTAAGTTGATCAATGGTTCGAACTCATGGAATATCAGGTAGTGTTATGATTATTATTTGTTACGCAGAAGATAAGCAAATCCAGTTATTAAATCCTTCATAGTTGGTACTTAAGTTCCAAAACTTCAACATGAATGCAGCTGCAGACAGGCGATGATTTGAGGCGGTCACAAAATCTCCTGGTTCTAGAAAGTGAATGATTAAACTAAAGAAGCACCGCATAGCAAACGCGGTGACTAGAGTTTTTGCATTACATGTATGCTACAGGACAAAATGCAACAAAAAATGAGATGCAACCCCGTAGATTTTTCAGTTTAACAGACTGGAATCTGGCAATTTTAAGGGGATGCGATTTTTAACCAATTGGTACATTTACTGCTGACTGCAGCTGTGGCAAGTATTAATGAGGAAGTGTTTACCTTGGGCTTCAATTGAAGAGCCAGGGTCGGGGGTGCAGAAATAACATCCTTGATTTTCACCAACTGGCCAGTTTCAGGTGGTGTAATCAGTGGCTTGCTTTCTAGCTCACGCTCATCTTCTGAGGCATAGTTATTGATGCAGAGACAAGAGCCTGATCCAGAAGAAGAAAGACAAAAACGATCCAAAACTCTGCCAAAACTCAGCTTCCCCATTCAACCTTGTCCCAGCCACTCACTCAAAGCAAATTCTTTGGTCTAAAGGCTAATAAGAAAATGGTCTAGTCGTAGAAGTAGCCAGTACTTGCCCATGCGTTCCCAACTGCTGGTGGTGCTATAGTACTAGTAGCATTATTTAAAAACAAGAAAGTATTAAATGATGATAAGGTAAAGGTCAATTTTCATGGGAATGACAAAAAGCTTATCAGAAACCAATGAAGGTAATGTGGAAGGGGAGAGTTTTCATGACTCTCGAGACTCCATCACTTTTCTTGGTAGATTAACTGAAAGTAAAAGTGGGTGAGACCCAATGGAAAGGCTTTACCAATTGTGATCAGCCCCAACTAGATTTTGTCATGTGATTGGGCACAAAAGATCGTAGCACGAAATTAATTCTTCAACATCTTCATGTGAGGTGGTTAGCTAACTTAGCTCGAGTGTTACGTACAAGTGAAGTGAGCATTTGCTTCATGTGACTAAATCCAACGAAACTGATTCAATCGCTTCAAAAGAAGTTTAATCATGAAGCATAATCCACACCAAAGGTTTCGAGAAAGCTGAGGATTGGACTACTGACGAATTTTTTAAGACAAGTGGAAGTGTCTAACGTTAATTTTTTTTTTTTTCACATAATCCTCTTACTATACTAGCCCCTTAGTTTTTCAAGTTAATTATCTCGATTCTCATCTAACTTTTCCACGAATCCTCCGACGCACAAAGCAACAAAAGCAAGAAATCAACATAGACGAAAGATGTATAATTATAGAACCGCCCAAAGCCGGCCCCATGTCCAAGTTACCATATACAAGCCGTCAAGAGTTTCGTTAATTATTTGTTAATCTACTGTATGTTTGAAACGAGTACTCAATAATTGTCATAAAGAAATGTTTCCAGTTATCAGTTCATATGATGTCACGCTACTGAACTTGTATATGAAAAAACAGTGCGCTTTTAATCCTGTAATGTCGTTTGCAGTTTGCAGATTGGCGCCATATATGTAACAGCATTAGATAAGTCATGTATAGTAGCCATACAGGGGATAGCAGCATTTGTCTAGACTAGACTAGACCTTGTAAATTACACCATGCAAAAGGCAAAAAGCCTCGTAGGGAAGTCAATTATTGAAAGTGCAGGAGACTTTGGTGGCCTCTTAACTCTATGAATCGCTGAGAGAGAGAGGAAGAGAGGCTCGCTGAATTATTGTTCGGCCGACTACTGCATTTCTATTCCAGTTTAGTGGGTCTTATTGTCAACAGGTTGGTCCATGTGACGATGATTGTGAGAAAGAATACAAATATGCAAAAGCTAGTGGACTGGTGAGTTCATACTTCATATAATTCATTCATGTCTTGCACGTGCGTCTTGTTGGTAATAGTTTGTAATGAGTATGTTGAAATCCATTGTCCCACATTGAAAGAGGATAAAGTGCATGTTGCCTATATATGAGTCATTGTCCTATTCCTTTACAAACTTGTTCCAAGATAATAGTTTGGAGGGAAAGTTTGGTGGGAAATTTATTTCAAGATATATAAAATCTTGACAAGGGCACTTGGGGCTTTCTGAAAGGGTGTCAATCAGAGGTAGTTAATGGCGGTTGGCGGTTACATTTTGCAGACATATCTGTTAATTGGCTAACTACCCAAACGCCTATTCAATAAAGATTGCATCCTCTGATAGTGCCTTGAATAGGTGCTTCAATCCTTTTAAATAGTAGGATTTCGACAGAATTAAATCACTTTTACTTTTCATTTGATAGTTCTTAGACTTTGTTGTATCCTAGAGGTAATTTGTCTAATAGAGGCAAATAACACCTTAAGGAAAGTGCTTTCACGCCTCAAAGTCTCTGTATTTGTCTAGTATAGTTTTGTTCTTTACTACAGTTTAATAACACGTCTCACATGAGCCTTCTTGCTAGCAACCAAAAGAACGCATTGGAAGTGTTTCAAGTTTGAGTGCATCTACTGGGACGCTATGTCCCCCCTTCCCCCCAGCTTTTATTAAGAATTAAGCATTGATGACGAGAAGAAAGTTTATGGTAGTATCCGTCCACTGTTCGTGCTATGGATTTTCTGGGTTTTTTCTCTTTCAGGGGCGCCCTTTGCAAAATGCTGGTGCTAAAATGGTGCAGACGAAGCTTAACAGACATCATCAAAGTAGATATGGATAGGAATAGGGTTCACTTTGCTTGTTTAGGACACTGATAAGTTGGAAACAAAGAAAAAAAAAAACAAATGCCATCAATCAACTACCACATGGTCGTAATAGTGTCATATGTGCATTGTTTTATTGTGTAATTCCACTATTAATGCGATTTAATTTAGTGATTAAGGAGACGTATCTGCCGGGGTTCCCGGCTGTTGCACATACTCTGCACTTCCACCCAAGTAGGCAATTGATGCTCTCGATTAAAGCATACTTATAACATAATAATTAACCCATAAGTCAAAAGCTGTGCCATTTTCGCTAAGAAAATGTTTTTGGGAACATCAGTCAAATCAAGAAGGCATCTAGCCTGCTCCAGGCTCCAGCATTGACGTTTGTCTATTGTTTGCACATGCATGCTTTCTTCATCGTTCTCATTAGGAGCATCTCGATCATACATAAATATATTATCAGTCAATTTTTTTTTTTTTAAAAAAAAACATCATATTAATTAATTAGCCGCACTCTGCTCTACTTTTCTGTAGGAGTATCGCCAAGAAATGACACATATCCATTCGGCGCTTAAAGCCTCAAACAAGGAGTATATACCAAAACCAAATGCTTTTGGACAAGAACAAAGATCGTGTAACCACTTGTTATCAGTTCAAGTAATCAAGTTAATTTATCTCAAACTTGACTGCTTGATGCACCAGACCCAGTTATGATCCTCCCTCTTTCTTCTTTGTAAGATGTTATGTACCTAAAGAAGGACACAATCAAAATTCTGGCTACGTAGTAGTAATTAATATCCTTTGACGTGGTGCGAATTTATGGAGTACGTGATAACAGTTTTACATTTGACGCATGCAAAACTCGCATTGTGCCGAAAGTATAGAGTTTCACTGATCAATAATCACCCGCCACTGGGCCTAATTATATCGAGCTGGAAAAGTTAAAAAGAGTATAATGTCCGTAGGCATGCTTTCTCATGGTGGAAGAAATTAAGTGAAACGGGCAAGCATTAGAAACCAATCATTATGACCAATAAAAATTAGATCAAGATTAATCACGCTCCACATTTGGTTGACCGCACTCTCGATCGATGGCTATCACTTTTATTATATGATTTTCAGACTATATAATAAAATAAATGATGGAAATACAATCAACAAAAAGTTGAGTGCGATTAATTTTTTTTTAAAAAATTTATGCTCAGCATATGATAATAGAGGACAGTATAGTAATTGATTAACACGCATACAACATCAAATATATATATATATTTATACAAACAAACACACACACGTGTATGTAAATGTACATGTATGTATCAGTTCGCGAGCTGCACATGCCAGCTTTCTTCTGGTTCTTATTTTT